AAGTAGATTACCCAACCTTTCTTCTGAGGAGTGGCTGGTGGGTTTGAACTGCCAGCCTTCTGGTTAGCAGTCAAGTGTCTTAGGCACTACCCTACCAGAGTTCCTGGCATCGAGGTTATGGGGCCACAATTCTGCTCTGGGTCTCATTAGCACTCAGAAAGACCTCCCGAGAAAAGAAGAGAAGACCAAAATGGATGACAGAAGAGACTCTGAAACTTGTCCTTGAGTGGAGAGTAGCTAAAGCAAATGGAAAAAATGACAAGATCAAAGAGCTAAACTGAAGATTTCAAAGAGTAGCTTGAGCAGACAAAGCCAATTACTATAATGAAATGTGCAAAGACCTTGAGGTAGAAAACCAAAAGGGAAGAACACTCTGGGCATTTCTCAAGCTGAAAGAATTGAGGAAAAAATTTAAGCCTCAAGTTGCAATATTGAAAGATTCTATGGGCAAAATATTGAATAATGCAGGAAACATCAAAAGAAGATGGAAGGAATACAGAGTCACTGTACCAAAAAGAACTGGTAGTTCTTCATCCATTTCAGGAGGTCACATATGATCCAGAACCAATGCTATTGAAGGAGGGAGTCCTTCAATTGAAGGAAGAAGTTGGAACTGCAGTGAAGGAGTTGGGGAGAACAAGGCTCTAGGAATTGACAGAATACCCATTGAGATATTTCAACAAATCGATGCCCCACTGGAGGCACTCATTCATTTATGCCAAGAGATTTGGAAGACAGCTACCTGGCCAACTGACTGGAAGAGGTCCATATTTGTACCAATTCCAAAGAAAGGTGATCCCACAGAATGTGGAAATTATCGAACAATATCATTAATATCGCACACAAGTATGATCTTATTGAAGATAATTCAAAAATGGTTGCAGCAGTACATTGACAGAGAACTTCCAGAGGTGCAAGCTGGATTCAGAAGAGGACATGGAACTAGGGATATCATAGATGTTGTCAGTCAGATGGATCTTGGCTCAAGGCAAAGAATACCAGAAAGATGTTTACTTGTGTTTTATTGACTATGCAAAGACATTTGATTGTGTGGATCATGACAAATCATGGATAACATTGAGAAGAATAGGAATTCCTCAACACTTGATTGTACTCCTGAGGAACTTGTACATTGACCAGGAGGCTGTCATTTGAACAGAACAAGGGGACACTACATGGTTTAAAACAAGAAGAGAGTGCGTCAGGGTTGTATCTTTCCCCATACTTATTCAATCTATATGCTGAGCAAATAATCTGAGAATCTGGACTATATGAAGAAGAATGTGGCATCAGGATTGGAGGAAGAATCATTAACAACCTGAGATATGATGATGATACAACTTTGCTTGCTGAGAGTGAACATAACTTGAGGCACTTACTGATGAAGATTGAAGAATACAGTCTGCAGTATGCATTACTTCTCAATATAAATAAGACAAAAATCCTCACAACTGGTCCAATAAGCAGCATCACGATAAATGGAGAAAAGATTGAGGTTGTCAAAGACTTCACATTGCTTGGTCCTACAATTGACGCCAATGTAACTAGCAGTCATGACATTAGAAGACGTGTAGCACTGGGCAGGTCAGCCACTAAGGAACTCTTTCAAGTGCTGAGGACCAAGGATGTCTCCTTGAAGACTAAGGTGCTAGCCATGACATAAGCCATGATATTTTCAATCGTCTCATATGTATGTGACAGCTGGAATGAATAAGGAAGACCAAAGAAGAGTTGATGCTTTTGAGTTGTGGTGCTGGCGAAGAATGCTGAAAAGTACCATGGACTGCTAAAAGAGCTAACAGATCTGTGCTGGAGGAAGTGCAGCCAAGATGTTCCTTGGAAGCAAGAATGGCCAGACTTCGTCTCACCTATTTTGGTCATGTTGTCAGAAGGAACCATTCCCTGGAGAAGGATGTCATGCTTGGTAAGGTGGAGGGTCAACGAAAGAGGGGAAGGCCTTCAACGAGATGGATTGACACAGTGGC